AATCTACAGAGATTTCTTCACTCCAGTTCACATCAGCCAATTCCTCAGAGTAAGTTTCTTTCTTGGGAGGTGATGGTTTTCTTGTTGTTGGTATATTAATTTGCTCATCCCAGTCAATTTCACTCAAATTGAACTCATCCACTAGAGATTTCACTACAGGGGGTGCATTTGTATTTGATGAGCTACCAGCACCAAACAGTCTCTCAAATGTTTCATCATCCATGAAGTCATCTTCAGTTGCATCTAAACTTTGGCTCACAAAAGGAACATCATCATCCAGAGGTAGCTTTGAGGCAACAAGGTTACTGTTCTTGTACTTCAAAGGAGAATCAAAGGATTCATTGGAGCTGATTGATATGCAACTATCATTTTTTTGAACCTGTTTTACAGGACTAAGACTTTTTTTATGCCTTGTAAGAGGTCCTTTTGGAGTTTCATCAAATGATTCAGGTCTTTCTGATGACTTGGGACATACATTGGGAAATATTAAACTAGGACTGGGTGTTTCAGACAGGGTTTCAGATGATAGTTTCTTGGATTTGAATTCAAAATTCTTCGTTTTTATTAAAGGTGAGTCAATAGAATCATCAAATTCATTTTTATTTTCATTTTTTATATTATATGAGTGATTGGCAAAGTTGTCACTCAGATTTTTGGACCTATGGTCCATCAATGATCTAGTATTCAAAGTATCTTCAGGGGTATTTTCATTAGTTACATTAGTGTGTACTGTTTGTTCAACTACAGATTTAACATCTATGAACACAGAGTTTCTTGAATTGATATTGCCTGCATCACCTTTTTTATTCTCTAAAGGAGCATCACTAAATAATGCATCAAAAACTGCTTTCTTTTCCTCAATGGTTGAGTTCACATGTTGTTTCTTCTTGAACTGAAATTTGGATGCACTTTTTGAATGTTGCAATACATCATCACTATTTTTCAGGCTACATTGTTTAGTGAACTCCCTTATGTTTGTGTCCTTCTTTGGTGGGAATGTTATCTTGGTTTGTGATAAACTTTTCTTATTGGATTCCTGCTGGGTTTGGAATTTAGAATCTGATTTTTCCATCTGTCCCACCCTTTGCTTATCCAATTCAACATTTTTACCTTTTTTGGTACCCTTAAAATTAAATTTCGGTTTGTTGGATAATGTGTCATTCCTTGTGCTATTGCTATTTTTCCAGGAAGTAGTCTCTGCATTATCACTGGTATCTGCAAATATATTACAGAGCTGATCCTCTATATTATCATTCCATACATTTGGTTTTGGTTCTACCTTTTCCGAGACCTTTTCAATACAGTTTTTATTGAAAAATGGTGAAGTAGTTTGAAGAGATTTCGCTGCAGTGTCTTTCTTGAAGGAGAACTTGTTCTTTTTTATGGTTCCTCTACTTTTAAAGGCGTCAAAGAAGTCTTCACTACTACCATTTGCCATTAGAACGGTTCACCGTTATCATGATCTTGTGTTCCTCCAAAGCTAAATCAAATCAATGAATTTTTATGATGTAGATTGATTGATTTCCAGTTACCAAATATTCAGCTCAGCATAATAATAGCAATGAGACAATCACGATCACATCACAATAAACAAAAACAACAAACACAATCCACCATTTTGAGAAGGATGTGGTTTGTCCGTTGTCGTTGTCAACCGTCAACTCTTCTGTCTTTAACGCACGACAACGCGATTTACGACCCACGATCCCGCTAGCATTCTTGCCCACTATTACAGAAGCACAGAAGCACAGAGCACAGGTTTGGTCGTAACCAGTCCTAACCCATAACGGTCATTGCCACTGCCACCGTACATCGGCGCGCGACGTTGCGTAGGTGCAGTTGACGTCATTGAGCGGCTAAGAGAATTCAAAATGTGTTCCGTTTTCCAAACCAAATAATATATTTCTGAATTCGGAAATGTTATAGCATGCTAATGATTGCGTAGAATCTGCGTAGATTATATTATAGGATTATAAAAAAAAGTTTAAAATTCATCCTATTGATTTTTTTTTTAATTGAAAAGTTGGGTAATTCCTTAGGGATCAAAGTTTACTTCGACAAAATAAGCTCTCGTGTAATTATATCAGTGATTTAATTCCTGAAGTCATTCAAATGAATGAATTAAAACTCTTTCCAATGGGAACAAATCGCAAAATAAACGTCATTGCCCAAAAGAATCGAATGACTCATGGATCCCATTAATATTTTCTGTTCGGTTTTCATAGTTGGTTTTAGTTTGCTCAATCTTTTGATAATGATAATTGAAGTATAGTGTGCACCTGCAGCGATGTCGTTATGTTCCTGTTTGACCAAATATTTTTTATAATTTTTTTCCGGCAATTATTATGAAGCTTGATATAAAAGATAAAATGTCTTTTCTCGAGTCCATATCGAATTTTTTTCTTTTCAGACCTTTTATGTCATAGATATATTTTTTCTTCAAACTGATGCACTTTATCAACGAATAATTGAATACTATTGAATCTTGAGAATGTTTGGATACAAAAACTCAAAATAAGGTATATTGGTAAATTTATACAGGATGATATAAAAATTATTGTGAGATTTAATAGAGGAAACATATCTATTCAGATAAAACATCGTTTTCTCAATGCCATTGACGAAATTTTGGAGTTTTATACTTACTATTGACATGAAGCGGGAAAAAATATCATATCATATCATTTTTAAGTGAATTGATTAAAAAAAGTCCGAATTAATTCAAAATGTCGGACTGTTTTGACTTTTTTATGTCTTATCCAACCCTGCCCTGAAATTACAGAGAGGATGAGAGCCATATATAGCCATTGTGGTAAGACAGACAAATTGAAAGATATTTATGAAAGAAGGAGCAGAGAGATGAGGCTGACACATCAGGTGACATCAGTGTCCGGTTCTTCTGAAATGCTTGAAAAGAGTAAAGACGGAGGAACGCATTACCGTATAAAACTCGACATGTCACCGCGATATTTCATGAATTTTAAGTGGCATACTATAATCTCCAGTTTTATGGTTTCCACTTACGCTCGTCCTGCTGTTATATTTCACTAAGGATGTCTGTTACTGTGGATGTTTCTTCATCATCTTCTTCAGGTTAGGTATAGCTGGGTACATTTAGCGTTTACCTGTTCTCGGAATACCTCTCTTGTCCACCATGATAATTGTTTGTGGCCAATTTAGACTTAATCAGCCAGGATGCCAAGAATTTTACCTTTTTTTCTACCATATGTAGGTATAGGTACTTACAACTTGGACTGGATATCTTTTGTATGGATTCCGGTGATCCTATAACACATGACTGGATAATTTTGTTCAATTTCGATAGTTATGTAGATATTATCCCGCCAACCTTATTGAAGTATATCTACGGAAAAAATGCGAAATTTGTAACATATTAATTGTTGCACACCAGACAATAGAACCCACAATTCTTGTTTGGATCTCATGTGGATCTCCTACACTAGCCCAGCCAGAAAATTTTCTTGGAGTCAATATTTCACGTTTCACTAGAAAAAATCATTGTAAAACGCGAAATAACGAAATACGAGAACAAAAGTTAAAAGTCACAACAGGGGCGTCCGCAAAAATAATCTCAGGGAGGGGCAAGTAAACAATAAATAATGTACAATTTTCACTACATTTCAAAAAAACAGTTTTTGCACGACCTATAAGCGATTTTACACCAACAAAAGTGGGAATACAGGGTATATAGAGTAAGCACCCTCTAGGCTAACAAATTTTCCGGGATTTTTCTGGAAATAAATCTACCACTATGTTTGCAGCGCATCTTCAATAGTTTTTCCACACATTCCTGCAATATTTATTGAAAAAACTTTGAAAAGCAATTAAGAAAATATGCTACCACACTTTTTCGATGTTCACAAAAAGCAATATGGCTACTTTTCTTTATCGGTAGTCATGATAATCAAATAACTTGATTTTGTGATTATTGTGTTCAGATTTTCATTTTCATATTGACAATAATTGATTTTTTCATAAGATTCTTTCAATTAAAATCGTCAAGTCGTGCAAAAAATGGTATATAAACCTCGGAAGTGAGTTCTTTCTTCCCTCAGTGCATTGTAGCACCCTCTGGCTACAAAACCACCTCTGGAAAAATCATGCACTTTACTCTCTCGATATATAATCTACTATTATTCTACATAAAAAATGGAATAAAAAAATTATCAATAACTTCGTTGATAAAATCAACTCTATATCTATCTATAAAATGTCGATGAATACTAATCTCAGAAAGTCACTATAATAAGTGCTTATCAGAATAGGAATTGAATAATGCAAATGCATCTTGTTCAAAAAGTATCTGAGTAAGGACCAGGCGCTATGGGGACGGGGAGCGAGCGCCCCCCCTTGCCTTCCCCTCCGGACGCCCCTGAGGTTGAATCCTATTGTCGCACCTATTTGAAATCTCATCTAAGAAGATACTAGCCCTCAGGAAATAAATTGTCCATGCTTCATTTATCAGTATTTCATAATATGATAAGAAGGGCCCCTCATTATTAAGTTTTCAATGTAATTTTTTCGCTGGCCGTCGATTTTTTCAACTTTACTCAACTAGACAGATACAATCGTATACTAATCAGCATGAAATCCTATTTGCGAAATTTTTTGACATATGTATTTGTCGAATATTTGCTTCATTTTTACATTTTACAATTTTTTTATGAAACAGTTAGGCACTGTATTCATGAAATTAATCAAAAGTGTTCTTGGAGAAGTCACATTATACGTATTTTTTTGACTTTGTCTTGGCTCTTGGGTATTGGAAAAAAGGCTAGCCCCAAAGCCCCCCCTGGGTGCTTCAGTGCTGCCAACCATACTTTTATAGCTAGGTAGAGAAAATCTGAAATTTGAAACATTATTGTTTGGAATTGGAAAGTTGAGACCCCCTAGTTCAATGCACAACCGACAAAAGTACCTACATCCTACACTTCTTGTTTGCAAATACATATCTATAGAGAGAATAAAGGATCTCTTACCTGAAATAGGAACACGTAACCTGACGCTTTCCGCGTTTCGGATACGATATAAAGACAATGCTACGACGTGCTGACACCAAAAAATGTCTTTCGTTTCGCAACTGCATGTCACCGATGTTATTTTACATCTGAAAAAAAAAAGAGAGATTCCTTCAAATTCTAGAGAATATTCCACAACAGTAATTTGTAACCAATCAAATAGGTTTTTTTGACAAATAACCACAGTAACGTAGGCATTTCAGCGAAATATTTTTCTTCTTCCAACAGTGAATCAAATCGGAAATTTTTTGACGTTTTAATGACAGAAGAAAGAAAGCAATTTTTTCTGCAACCGACACAAAAGTCGTCCATTTTGATACCAAAATTAGCTCTTAAATTGACGTTTCTATTACTGACACAAAAATAGGTAGGTATGTTGCTTGCCAACATATTTAGTTCCTAGGAGCTAAAGTTGAATTTTAGTTCCTAGGAGCTAACGTTGAACTTTAGCTCCTAGGAACTAAAAAGGATCTACTGGACGTCATCAAGAATAAACAACATTGTGACGGTTGGCTATTTGGGTTGAGATGCATACCTGATTTGTTTCCGATTTCAGCAGATTTGGCATTTCATACCCATGCTGGAGATATAAATACACCTTATTATAGTTTGGTATTGGAATTATAAACATCTCAGTTAAGTATTTTTGTTTTTATCAGGGAAGCCTTCAAGATTCAAATACTTGCTTGATCTGTATTTCATTCGTTATTCTCGGGATGAATTACTTGTTTTCGAATAATCACGGCAAGCAATAGTTTTTTTGTTTCAAACAACGATATTGTTTAGCTTCATTTGATTATCAAGTCAAACACAGTGTAGTATGGAGAGGAATAAATAATCACTATTATCATTGTTGATATGCTCACTAACCTAACATTTTCCACGTCTTGTTCCTATAGCTGGCACTGGCGCGGTATTTGCCATTAGAGCACCTGGTCCATACACAAATATGTCACACTTTGGTTGTATTTATATTGAAACTACAATTCGAACATCCTAGAAAACCTAACCTGCTGTTAATGCAGGTAGAATATTCTCACCACATGGATTATTTGTCAATAGTTGTTTCATTGCATGGCACAGCATTGGTGGTTACTTCACATATTCATTTGAGTTAATTGTTTCGGTTGCAGAAAAAATAGCATGTTTCATTCGGATCAAAAGTGACTTTGTTCGACTCGCAAATTTTGCTTTCGCTCGGCTTCGCTAAACGCTCCGCCTCGCAAATGCAAAATTCGCTTGTCAAACAAAGTGTCACTTTTGATCCTAATAAAACAATCTACTATTCTACCACATGTAGATTCACAAAGTTTATGTAAAATTGAAAGATGGACAATGTTCAGTCTTAAAATGTTATTAACATGCACAAGTATAGAAATCAACAATTTATAGGATAAAATCGCTGCCAAAACTGTGAAGCAACTGTTAGGTAGTACCTTCCTTGATGAAAATCAAGATAAGAGCCAACATGAAAATCAAATAAATAAATAAATGAATACTAGAATTATTCAATTTTCAAACAATCTGGTGTGAAATTTTCTTACCGAATACCTCACGAGTTTAAATTATTTTCCGGATATTTTTCAACTGCTGGTAGTATTACAAGTGACAATTTTTTAAATTCAATAAAACAGCCCCCCGTCTGCTAAATGGAGAATATGGAAAAAATATAGAGATATTGACAAATACGAATAAGTATTGATGATTTTTGGAAACCTCGGATTGTATCATCTTAAAAAATAGATCTTCATGAATCTTTAATTTTTTCATTATACATAGTGTGACCCACTTCTAAATGGAAACACCCCTGTAATACGTAATCGTTGGGTAAGGATCCCGAAATTTGGTGGAGCGAGAGATATACCAAAAATGCACTCTATGACCAAGTGATACACTGCTCGCCAACAGCCATGGAGCCACCCCAATTTCTGGAAAATGATATTAGGAGTCAAAATAGGTAGAAAATCACTTCTGATTCGGAATCAGGACGCCCAATTCATCACTTTATCTCTAGACTTTCCCTTCCTCCTGCAAATTTCAGAACCTTACCTCATGTCACAGTTATAAAATAATGTAATGTACGATAGACTCACCTGTCAAAACTGACGGAAACTTTGAACTTTTGGGGCGGTTCGGGGGCACCACATGGCAACGTAGAAGTTTGGGAGGAACGGGAGGCGGTAACGATGCCACTGAGGTGGAAACCTGGAAAACAAAATTTGATATTATTCTGGCGGATGCACTGAAAAATTTCTTTCAATTAAAGTACTGTATTTTGTATCGTTACCAAAGCAACTAAACAAATGTTTGGAAAAACATCATACTGTTTCGAGTTCCTTGCAACAAAATATGTGGAAACCAACTTTAGAAGAATAAAGTACGTCCAAAATAATATTTTAACTTCCACTATAGCTGCCTTATAGTATTGATATTTTGTGTAACTAAAGTCGGTATTTTGTATTTTATTTAGCGTAATCTTATCCTATTTTTTTTAAATTCCAGTGTGAATTTTCTTACAGAATATCACTCTAGTTTCAATTAAATACCAGAAAATTTTCAAAATATTCGTGTTCTAGAAACATTTTCTGGTATTGATTGAAGCTCTGTATTATAAGTATTCTATCCATAGCCGTTCAAATTAACATAATTGGGTACATTTTCAAGTATCTCTAAAATAGCCGAAGCCCTATTTTTTACGTTAACAAAAGGTTTAAAAGGAGTGCCATTGTTCCCAACTTATATAATCTCCAAAAGTTCAAAACAAAATCCAACTCCTACCTCCTTTCCCTATCCTCTCTAGGTAAGCACAATGTTCTTCGAACATTATAGGGATTTCCTCTCGTGCGCACCAAGAGATAAAAAAACAATGCTGAACTCCATATTACGCTACGCAAACACACAAACTGTACAATTCGACTGGAATTTCGTCGAATTCGCAACTTGTTTTCGGCGATAATGTTCTGAATCCTTCACGAAAAAATACTTCACCCTTATAAATACCCTCTATAGGCACCTTGGAATAGTTATTTGTTTTTCTCGGCTGCAAAGTAGTAGATTGACTATCGCTTGGCTGATCGTTCATTCAGTCATGGCAGTCAATCTACATTTGCTGCAGTGTGAAACATATAATTTTTTCTCCAAATGTTATAAAACCAATTATGTGTAATTTTTTATTGAAACCTTCATCATTTTGTGTTCACCCAATGTCAGTGTCAATTATTATTACCAATTTCATTCAAATTACTCGGAACATTGCATAGTAACAAACTTTTCTTGCTTAGGCAGAGAAAGTACACCATTCCTGCCTGCTAAGTGTAAGAGAAAAGCCACTTTCTATGCCGTTTGGAGAAAAATTACATTTTTTGCTTATCGCGAGTTCATCAACAAACTGCATATGATGGTTGTCGATGTTGTGAGAAAATCTTTGGGGCATTTACCGTTATGGATTCGTTTAGAAAAATGATGTACCTATATAGTATAATAACAGTTCTCTATTTATTTCTTTGCGCCACGTGAAAAGTGAGATGCGGCGGTGAATTGAATTCTCGACACAGAAAAGAAGCTATATACCTATTGTGTGAGTTTTCTGAGAGAACAAAAATACAAAACATTCTATAGAATCATAAGGCCCTTTTATGCTAGCTTGAATACACGTTTCTCTAATCTCGGAGAGAATGGCCTTCGAAAGAAAGTGTTTATATATAGAACTTTCGAAAAGTAATTTATACTCATTTATATTTATAGTACACCTACTGTATGAAGATTCATTCGCAACACCACTGGGTAGGGTTCCTTATTTCAATTTATAATTGAAAAATGATGACGTATCTTCTAGTGTCTAATCGAGCTTCTAGTTTGTTATTTATTAGCCCAACACAACAAAATTAACCGATATTTATTTATATTTATTCCAAGAAGAGACAGGCTATATTTCAGTTGTGTTTTGCATGCGATGCGAATATCATGCAGCGATTTGTCAGTTTTATATTTTAGACAGAATAATTATTAGTTTCACGACAATTTTCGAAATTACAGCCGCTATTATTATTTATGGAAGATCCGTGCGGGCAATTCGTATTGCTTATTCTCCGCCTGGTTGTGAGAACGGTGATTTGCCAATGTTGTGTTCCCCATTTTGAAATTTCTCCAAAGAAAAAGTTATGTCAGGATTTGGTCACATGAGGAACATGCTAGAATGCTAAGCTTTTCACAGTCTACTTGCATTACCAAATATGGTGAAAATGAAGTGAAAATAAAATTATATAGGCAATCGCCCACCAGATTAGTGGGATCAGACAGAATGCGCGAGATAAAATAATAATTCCCACGTTCATGATTACGCAGCTTAACCATGAATAGCTTTCCAGATTTCTTAATTCAATTCGGAAAAAACATAAAGCCACATTATAAGTATACATCAAGTGGAAAACAAAACTGGCATAAAACATACAGAAATAAATTGACCGAGCAAAATAACCGTATTCATTTAATTAGGAAAAAAGTAGTACCTATCCCATAACAGAGTAGTAATTTCACGTTCTCGACTCCAAAAATTTCGGTTGCTCACGACCGACTACCAAACAAAGAGAAGTGTAAAAATCGAGCAACCATCTCGAAACAAAACACTGTAACGGCCATTAAGTTGAAGGAAGGTCAAGAGAGCATGAGAAAATGGTGTGGTACTACCAGGGTACTGCTGTGTTGCCTACCTGCACCGTGCATATCCACATTTGCAACTTACCAAGATTCGGAGATTCATTCAGTAAACAGAAGATGTGAGTTGAATCTGTTGACAACTTAGGGAAATCAAAAGTAGTTGGTAAGATTTGGGTAATTTATTTTAGTAAATCATCTAATTATCGATAGAAATTTATAATAATGAGCCGTAAACGCTGAAGTACCACTACTGGTACCTGTATGTTTCGTACACTTTGAATCGTTTGGCAACACTGTGCCAAGTGCGAAGAACTGAAGACTGTGCTGAAGACTAATAGGATTTTGAAAGGACTGCATACGTCATCCTCAATTTCAAGGCTGCCTGCCTGCTTGCTTGCTTCCACATCTTGACCAAAACGGGCCAAAAGAGACGAAGATAAGGCCATAACGGCTGTTATATGAAGACGAGAAAAAGCTGATGAGACATAGATCAATGACAGAACTAGCTGAAAACGTATCATTATTGGCATTGAAGTGTCATTTTCAGTGCCAAATGACCGAGTATCAAAGTACTAGTATACTGATACTGACTAATTCACTCATTTCATAATCTGACCAATCCGAGGACCAATCACAACTTTGCTTTGTGATTATCGCGAAAATTCTTCATTTCTTATTAGTCTATCATCGCTGGTGATTGACTAGAAATAACTGTAGCTGTAGACGTCAGAATAAGTTGCTTTGGTAATAATGGATTATTCATGTTTATAATAAGAGGCATTTATTATAAGTTTCGTGAAATAATCTAACAAAATACCACTATGTTCTATGTTCTGAATAACTTCTCATAATTATGTCTCCTGGTGGTTGATTATAATCTCAAAAACAATAATTATCATCTTGTTGCTATGATTGAAAAACGTACTCGCATTACTTGTTTTTTATTTCCTGAACCTACTCCCTTATTTTTCAGTCGCATTAGTGGCAAACAGGACGTGAAATCTTTCATTCGGAAAGTAGCCGATATCTCAAAACAATTAGCGAAAACGTCAAGATCGAATCGGAAAATCTCCTGTGGATAAGCGTGCATTTGTGACCGCGAAAGGTGTAATTCTGCGAGGAAAACCAGGGAGAATAAAGGGGAAAACTCACGCCGTGGCCGGGAAATCCTCGTCGCTCTATCGGAATCGCATTCAAATGTGAGCAGGAGGCAATTTCCCCGGACACCTATACGGCGTTATTGTTCAATTTGTTTTGTGAAATTATTGGGTTTGTTCACTCATAAATTAATTTTTGAATAGTTAGGTATCTGTACCTATATACACTTTTTTTGTGAGCGGATATAAATAATGCTCATTTCTGTTACCTGGAGATAAGAATTTAATTGAATGAATATGTGTACGGTGTAGGTTTTGTTACTAACTCCACAGGACAACTCACGAACAGTACTGTGCAATAGAACCCAGCAGCTTGCCCAACAGTGAATCGTATTCGATAATCTCGAGTTACAGTTTCAAAGTTAGAACTTTTATTATGGATGCGCAATTTAGGATCGAACCTAAGTACTATTAATATTCTGGTCAATCTGCTTTCTTTCAAGTCAAATAAATATTCATTGATACATTCAAAATTCCTGTGATATTTCACTTCTCTCGTGCGGCTTCCATAACGAATTTCCAATCTGATATACAGGTTGGACCGAATCGAATCGAAAAATAGAGAGTGGTCATTTTGCCATGGATAAACCTCAAAAAATAAAAATGCACAATAACTTGAAGTTCAAATGAAAAAAAATGTATTCCTTTATGTCTAAGGCAATTCAAAAATGATCTCTTTGTAGGTATTCATCAAGTTATGGTACATTTTTGGAAGTTTGTTCACTAAAGACGAGCTCCTTTATTTTGCGAGCCTCTACATCACGTCTTAATGTATAAACATTTCGACCAATCTGTATATTCGTGCAATAATTCTAAATTTTCCCCTACAGGCAGACTTTAACGTGAATACGGCAACGTGGCGCTGTCATATCAACTCGTTCCTCTTTAATTTTCGCCGGAGTCGCCGGTTGCTGTTCACCGAGAGTCGAGAACCCAGAACAAGCGTCTAGCTACACTATTTCCATCGGTGGCTCTCTGAATTCTAACGAGTACATAACGTCACTCATAACTCCATCGCGATAAATTCCTGTGGGATTCAATTATTCGAGTAAGCGAATGATACAGTGGGTATACAGGGTGATCCACGGTGGATGGCCTATTTTTTTATGTTATTCATTTTTTGATAGATATTCATTCAGTTTCTATTAATTTCTCGATAAAAAATCTAAATTTTTAGTGATATTATTAGTTATTTATCTCACTCTGTAGTCAGATGATCTAATTCTGACTATCATCATGCCTAATATTATTCAAATTCTAAAAATTATTACACGCGGTGACTTGAAAAGTGCAATTATTCAAAAATCGTAACGATTATAAAAAACACCCTATTTTTTGACTAGTCCGAATCGATTGCTTACATCTAAATTTCTGTAAAAAATGCGTAAGCCGT